TATCTCTCTACCTACCTACCTACCTACCTATAAAAAACATGTCTATGAAGTGTTTTGCTCAAAATACCAAACAGATCACCCATTCTAGCCATGCCTCATTCCTTAACTAAATACTGCGTGATGAAACGCCATATCATGGATTATCAAGGATTATTTCTGAAACAGTATGGAGCTCAAAGGCTTTCTCTCTTGCCGGTTATACCACAAGGTGAGTTCCTTTTTACTTCCTGCTTCTTCACACACATGCTCTCCAGTACAGGTTAGCTCTGAGTGTTAGCGATGCTAATGTAAACACCGACCATATTACGTCCAAAACAGTCGGGCATTGTTTCTGATAGCAACGTTTCTGATAGGGCCGTGGGTCCACATTTCAGATATTACGTCATATCGGACGCAAATCTGGATCGCGAAAGAGAGAGGGTTTTATTTTCTGACGCTGCGTGAGTTCCCCGACACACCGGGGACACATCTTCATATAGAGAAGACATAACAAAGTGCATTTTGCATGATAGGTGCCCTTGATGAATGAATTAAGGTATAGGCGCAGAAGTTGTAATGCTAACAGATATTAAGAAATAAGTCAACATTTAGACATTTTAAATCCTTAGTTTTGACCCTAATAGTCTAAATTAAATGCAGTATTTTCCCACTTCAGTGTCACTAACCTTTGAAACCACAAAAAGGAATATTTACAAGTTGAAATAAATTGACAAGATGGAGTTTCAACATGCGATACAGCAAGTATGGATATTTATTTCAGATTTATATGAAAATACCCGTGGTATATTGCATCATATTTACAAAACATTGTACAAAAACATGAAAAAAAAAACGCTCTGCTTGTTCTAATAATGCTGGCTACTGAGACAACGGGCTGGTGACGGAGAATCAATACAAACTTTGTTCTTACTGACTTATATTCACATCATTATGCTTGATTACTTTTTTTAATAAGGGAGACTTTATATAAAAAAAAAAAGGAACTATACAAATATATATACATCTATCAGGTTTTGGCCAGTTATCAAATGAAATAAACCCCAAAACATGGTTCATACGTAGAAAAATAACTGATTTAATCCACATTAAATCAGGCGGAAACACAGCAGGACATCAGTCATAGTAAAAACACTGGGTCAAGAGCATAAACGCCTATAAGTGGCTACATCTGTCTCTTTAACACATACTTCACAAACAGCTGATCTCACAATAGACGTAAAAAAAAAAGCAAAATATAGAAGCAGAAACACGAAATCGCCCATCAATTGACATAATACTTCTGACAGGAAACGTTTGAAATGTTTACAATCAATGCTGACTTAAAATGAAAACCAGTGTCTAACCTGCGTAACCAGAAACAATACAAATACATTTAGTCGCTGCAGAAAGAAAGCCCTTATAAATCCCCTCTAACGCCAATTTGGTTTCCAGTCAAGCTCTTAAATGGGAATGAATCATACAAAGAAAATGAAAGTTGAAAATCCTCAGCATTTCTTAAGTGCTCTCAAGAAATTAGAACGTAATAAAATGCAACTCTCGCTCAACGCCGCGTGTCGCTTTCCTCGGCGATTTAACGAGAACAAAAATGCAAAGTAAGTGCACTTTTATGTGAATGTGATTTTTGTTGCTTAGCAGGTTCTTTTGTTGCACTAAGAGTGGTGCAGGAATGAGTCCTAAAACACAGAAATGAGTCAGCATTTGTGGGTTCCCTCGTCTTGAAGTTTTTTAGATTTTACATGCCTGAACTAAAATCTGTGGTAAACACAAGCTGTAGATATTTTTAGGTTTTGTTCTACGCCATAACATGTATCAGTTGATTTCCCTCTGGTGAATGTATGAAGCTTTTTGTGTGTCTTAAAAATGGCCGTGCTAACAAGTGGCTAACGAGACTGCTTAATGTCATTATGCCAAACATTTTAACAAATAAACATTGTGTTTATGTGTGCAGCAAATTCCTTTAATGTGTAAACGTACCTGGCAATAAACTTGTTTCTGATTAGCCGCCGTTAGCTTAGCCGCCAAGTCATGCTACCGCGCTGTAGCTACTTGATAGCCTAACGTTAGCTTTTTACCTTTGCATTTATGCTTTAAATAGAATAAAAGTGGTGTTAATAAATGCTGAACAAAGCGTATAAGTATCATAGCCGTGTGTTTGCCACAGAGATTATTCTTTTGGGGATAATCCAATTGGCGAGGGAACCAGTTTAGAGCCTAGAGAATCACGTCATCCCTGCACCACTCTGACCCAGAGAAATGTTCGTACAGCAGGCGTGAAATGACAGACGTGGGGTTGGTGAGATTGGGGGTGAGATTTGGGGGTGAGATTTGAACGCCTCACTCCCCCTCCTCCTTGATTCGCTGCTGTTTGTTGCGGCGGGAGTCCAGGTCGAAGGAGAAGTCGGACCACTCGTCGCGCGGCGGGAAGCTGATGGTCTGCCGGAGGGTGAAGCGCACGGCGTCGATCACGCGCTCGCCTCGGGCCTCGGAGGAGCCCATGCTGACGGTGGACGCCCCGCTGGTGGTGCGCACTATGTGGGGGGGGGGGGAGAAGTCCATGGCCTGCCGGTGCTCCATGATGCCCTTCCAGATGGAGTGCTGGTACTCGGCGGGAATCTTCATCCGGGACAGGTCCTATTGGTCGACACACAGGGGAGATTTAGTATGCGTAGTGGGTGGGTGGGATTCTATCTTCTGTGTCTTCTGTTTTTAACCCATCAAATGACTGCTGTTGGATAGGCAAGGGCTCACCTCCATGTTATAGTTCTCAATCTGGTAGATGTTGCTTAAGCCTTGTGCTGTGAAGTAGTCCAGGCAGCCTGCGCAGCCCAGCCGAATAAGGAAGCTGCGGGGAGAGAGAGAGGGGGGGGTTAAAATGTGATCTGTGGTTTAATGATCAGAAAATAACCTGAAACGGCTCAAAACTCAATGCTTTTCCTTAAACAAGTTATTATATGTTGTATTTGTTCCCTGTACAGCACCTTGGTCAACTGAGGGGGTTTTAAATGACAAATCTGAAGTTGAATGAAATATATACAAATGTAAAAAATGAACAGTATGTCCTAGAACTAAAAGTTTAAGTATAGCAGACATACAACAAGTTATAAAAACATACATTACAAGTTGTTATAGTAAAGGATGTAATAAAAATGTCATTAAATGTCAAAAATATTATATTTATAGTTAAGTATCTCATTTATTTATACAAAGTAAAAAATCATTAAATAAAGCGCCATTTTATTTAAAAGTGGTAAACAATATCACAGTGCTTATGTTATAAAAAAGTAATACAAAAAAGGTGAAATACAATTTGTATAGAAATGTCACAGTACAGTGCGCCATCAAAGTTTGATAAAGATTTTCTAAAACAGTTTTGCATGTCATAAAAAGATATTTGTAATGCCTGATGAAGATCTGACTGAAACACTGCAAGAGGAACTGAGCTAAATATACTATTGGATTCAAGCCTTTATACAAATATACAAGTAATCCTTCTGTTTATTTCAACAGACAACAAGTCGCTGAAAATATACTTTGGAGGTGCGAACTTTTCCACTTCAACGTATTAAAAGGTAAATACACATTTGAGACAAAAGGAGACGGGGCTTTCTCTCCAGGCTTTACTCTTAATCTTACACTTTGCTATTTGGTGCGTCTTAGTGAGTAGTGAGATATGAATGCAATGTGTCCGCTGTGGTTTGCTGAGGTACCTGGCGATGCTGCTGTCCATGGGGTAGGGAGGAGGGGGGGTGCAGTGGGAGGAGGGCACCAGGGGCATCTGAGCCTGCAGGGCGTGGGTGGGGCTCAGTGAACTCAAGTCGTTCATGGGGAGGTGAGAGCCCATCATGGGAGTCACTGCAGAGACAAAAGGAGCCGCTTTACTCTGACTGCTCTGAGGCTTTCCTCCCCCTCTCTCCCCCTCTCTCTCCACACCCCCCCCTCTCTGTTTGTGTGGAGGGGTTTCTCAAATAGAGCGGTGCAGGGATGACGCGTTTGTAGTCCGAACCTAAAGTTAGCATCTCTGTGTGTTTCCCTCGACAAAAAGCCAATGGGATTAGGGCAGAAAATAAGATCTGTGGCTCCGACATGTTTACAATGTGTTCTCCGACACATGATACCCCCCCCACACATTAACAATACTCTTTTAAGTGTAAATGTAATTGCTGAGAGTAAAAAGCTAACGCTAGGCTATCCCATATATATATTTATACTTTTTAATGCTATTTTATTATATTTCAGAAATATTTTGGACTGTTTATTTCTAGTGTCTTAATTTCTCTTATTGCCTTGTTTTTTATGCTGCTGCAACAAAAACATTTCCCAAATTGGGATCAATAAAATACTCTCTCTCTCTCTCTCTCTCCCCCCAGCCACCTCTCTCTACCTACCTACCTACCTACCTACCCACCTACCTACCTCTCTCTCTACCTACCTACCTCTCTCTCTCTCCCTACCTCTCTCTCTACCTACCTACCTCTCTCTACCTACCTACCTCTCTCTCCCTACCTCTCTCTCTCTACCTACCTACCTACCTACCTCTCTCTCTACCTACCTACCAACCTACCTCTCTCTCCCTCTCTCTCCCTACCTCTCTCTCTCTACCTACCTACCTACCTACCTCTCTCTACCTACCTACCTCTCTCTACCTCTCTCTACCTACCTACCTCTCTCTCTACCTACCTACCTCTCTCTCTACCTACCTACCTACCTACCTCTCTCTCCCTCTCTCTCCCTACCTCTCTCTCTCTACCTACCTACCTACCTACCTACCTCTCTCTCTCTACCTACCTACCTCTCTCTACCTACCTACCTACCTACCTACCTCTCTCTACCTACCTACCTACCTACCTACCTCTCTCTACCTACCTACCTACCTACCTACCTACCTCTCTCTACCTACCTCTCTCTACCTCTCTACCTACCTACCTACCTACCTACCTACCTACCTACCTACCTACCTACCTACCTACCTTCATCGCTAAGCTAAAGGCGGCTAACGTTCAGTTTAGTTAAAGTCTCATTAAGACACATAGCAGCTTTGGGAAATCAGTGAGGTAATAACTGTCATATTTTATGTCGTACAACCAAACGTTAACATCTCTTCAGCTTGTGTTAACCACAGATCTTATTTCAGACTCCTCACCATTCAGAAAACCATTGACTTCAAGACGAGGGAACAGGAAGTGCTAAAGACTCATTCCTGCACCACTCTATTCACTTTTGTTCTAAACAATTGAGTTAGGAGCAGTTTGGAACTGTTACTCTCCACATTACCCATAATGCATCACATCAACAGGTCCTGCAGTCTCACAGGGATCACATTCATTTTAGAGGGAGGGGGTCAAGAGGCGTTCAGGTGCTTTATAACAATAATAGGGAGAGACCAGAGGTGGAGGAAGTGTTCAGAGCCTTTACTAAATAAATAGTTTCAATCCCACACTGTACAAATACTCAGTTACAAGAAAAAGTCAATACTTAAGTAAATATAGTCAGCAACATGGATGTAGCCAAAAAATACACAAAAAATGACTCCAATGTCTATAGAAGCAAATGAATGTTCTCTCACTCTCTCAAAAAGCTGTTCTTGTATACACTTGTGCGTACTTGAATACATATAGATAACAAAGCATCATGCAAACATCCTTATTTGTAAAGTAAAAATAATAACAATATTGTGCTTTGAATGTTAGTGGAGTAAAAGAAGACGTTTACAGACTCATTACTCGAGTACAAGTACGACTAAAAGCCCTACATTTAAACCCTCAGTGCGGTAGAAGTACAATCAATTAGCTTGACATTAACTACAATATTAAAAAGACTTGCTTGTATTTGTTCGTGATAACACTCCGAAATACTGTGAAGAGTAGATTTCTACATATTGATTACAACTTTTTGAGTTCCCACTGACTGTCGGTGAGGCCCCCCCCCTCCCAAGCTGTTAGCTGCCTACTTAAATACATATCAATAACAAAGCATCCCTTATTTGTAAAGAAAAAACACGAATTTTAGTGGAGTATTATATAAGAATATAAGTACAATCAAAAGCCCTACATTTAAACCCTCACTGCATAAAAGTACAATAAATTGGCTTGACATTAACTAGAATATTAAAAAGACTTGCTTGTATTTGTTCGTGATAATAGATTCAAGATGTCAGGCTTTTATTGGTACATAGCTACAGCGCAACACAACAGGTAACATATGATATAGTAGAAACAGTGCAGAATAGTCTACTGTATATACAAGTCGTTGGAATATTGATGTGAGTTGCAAACAGATCAGAAGTTCAGGTTTCAGTCTGATGGCCTGTGGGATGATACTGGGGAAACGTGCCCTTCTACATGTATTAAAAGTAGTGATTGTGTTGAACTTACTGTCGGTGAGACCCCCGCCCATTCCAGAGGGGGTGAGGGTGTTCCTCTGCTGCGGGTTGATCAGCTGACTGACGGACGGCAGCTTGTTCATTTTCCCGTGGGGGGGGGAGCAGGAGCCGTACGACTGCTGCGAGGGCATGGAGGTCCTGGAAGGAAAGAAAGAAAAATCACATTTATCAACATTATTATCAATTATTATTCTTTTTTTTATTTATGTTTAATTCATTTATTAAGGAGTGCAGATTTAACAATGAAAATATTTATGAACAAATACCGTGATATTATAGTCAGGTCTTTAAATCATTTTTTAAAAACGACTTTTATAGAATTGCTTTCTCGTGATTTTATTAAAGGTCACCTATCATTCTATTTTTAGGCAATAGCATCGGTCTCAGACACAAATATATAAAAACATATGAAGTGTTTTGCTCAAAATACCAAACAGATCACCCATTCTAGCCATGCCTCATATCCCTCTATTTCACTTCCTGTTTCAAAAGTGCTGATTTGGGGAATTAAGCTTTAATAAAATAAATAAAAAGGAGGGGGCGGAGCTTATGCGGGACCCGGCAGCTACTGTCTAAACTAAATACTGCCGTGATGAAACGCCATATCATGGATTATCAAGGATTCTCTCTGAAACAGTATGGAGCTCAAAGGCTTTCTCTCTTGCCGGTTATACCACAAGGTGAGTTCCTTTTTACTTCCTGCTTCTTCACACACATGCTCTCCAGTACAGGTTAGCTCTGAGTGTTAGCGATGCTAATGTAAACACCGACCATATTACGTCCAAAACAGTCGGGCATTGTTTCTGATAGCAACGTTTCTGATAGGGCCGTGGGTCCACATTTCAGATATGACGTCATATCGGACCCAAATCTGGATCAGCTCCGTTTTTAGAGATTTGGGTACGGAGGAGAAGAGAGAGGGTTTTATTTCCTGACGCTGCGTGAGTTCCCTGACACACCGGGGACACATCTTTATGTATAACAGACATCACAAAGTGCATTTTGCATGATAGGTCCCCTTTAAGTATATAAATAACTAACTACAGATGTTCCTCCTCACACTGGCCACACATCTCAGTAATGAAACAGCAGAGCCGTAAAAGAACAGGACAGAGTTCAAGCACCAAAAAAGCTATTTATTATAATCTGACAGACAAAAGTGCAGCAGCCAAAACAATAACAAAACATCTGTTTCAAACAGAATCACATCTTAAAGAGGAAAAAAACAAAACAGAAAAACTGACCTGCAGTGACTTTATAAAACATGACCAGCATTAGCAACAATAATACAGTCTTCCCCCCCCCCCCTCAAGAAAACGATTTTGAGTCCAGCTCTCAGAAAGAAAGCACCGTAAGTCAAGTGAGATAAAAACAGAGCTTGGTTCCTGTCAGCTTCATGACTAAACTCTACGCTACATATCATCATTTCAAACCGGGAAGAAGGTGTAAACTTTAAAATATACTTAAAAGGACGCATGCAAATAAGATTGAATTATTATAATCTATGAACGATGAAAAGGCTTTGAGCTGGGAGATTCCAGATGTTACAAAACAGAAAGTCCTCAGTGCAGAATCCCAGAGGAAGGAGCAGATGAGAAACAAAAGGCGACAGAAAGGAGGTCCATGGAGGAGGAAGAGGAAGATGAGGAAGATGAGGAATGTGGGTTTCAGGAGGAGCTGCAGCGCCGCCTCTGCTCTCCTGAAGGATCCATGAGTCGGCTACCAAGACGAGCTTTAATCAGACTGCAGGGAGGAAGAGGAAGAGGAGTGAGTGCTCACTGAAGGAGGAAGAGGAGCTGATGAATGTTAGTGGAGGGACAGAAGTGGCCAGCAGAGGGCGCTCTGTAGACACACATCAGTGCAGACCGGGGTCACTCAGACACAACGTGCACTCTATGTAGCTAGTTAGGACTTTCCCTGTTATTTTGAATGATGTGTCCTGATACGGTCTTACATTTAGTTTTCATTGTTATTCCTATTAGCTTTTTGTGAACTCGTACCTGTCCTACCATTGGAGAATTATTTTAGGAGTTCACTTAAAGGTGGGGTAGGTAATTCACTTCAGAAACACTTTGTTATATTCCATGGAATGCTCTTAACATCCTGATAGCAATGAATATATGAAATGCTTTGACAATAAATACATTAAAAACATGTCATCTGTGGAAGCCGTGGCGCTGTAAAAAGCACGACCAATCATCTGAGCCGGCCCGGCTAAAGTAACTGGATGGCCTACCTGCCTGTCAGCCTTCCATCTGTGCACAAACTTATCTCGTGCCCTCATTGGTCATGTGTGCGTTCGTGTGTGTTGGAGGAGGGGCTCTGTGAGGAAGTCTGAAGGAAGGGGCAGATTTTTTTCGGCTGCGTATTTTCAAACTCTAGAGCACTCGAGCTGCTTTCTTACTTTAATGCATTTTTCCCTTATTTTTTAACCACTCTTATTGCCCTCGATGCTCTGATAGCTGAATGTTCCTATAGTTGTTTTATCTGATCTCGTAGTGGAGGGTTACAAGCTTTTATTTTAAGAAAATCCATGCAAATATACTAAATGCTTGGGACGCCAAGGAAAAACCAATACTTTAATATCATGTTGAGTCAAAGGTTAAATCAAATGGCCTGCAGTACCGCATCAAATCTATGTTGAAATTGGCAAGTTAATGTTAGCAGTTAGCAGCAGGTGAAAGGCTGCATTCATGCTCTATTTAGTCACAAAGTTGACCTTGGACGAAGGTACATTACAAAGCGATCATGATGTGTTCAAATCCAATCATGTAAATCATAGTTTTGGCGGCGAGTAACTTGAATAAATAGGGTTTTCACAGCAATTAAAATCGATATAAGAGAGGGAATTATGACCTGATTCAGTAATGAGGGAACGTGTTTTCAAGTACATGGGATTCATGGTTTAGTTTTAACGAATTGGTATCAAGAATCTTGGGATTTCACTTGCATTGGTTTTGAAATCTACCTTTCTGTTAACGTTAAATCCCTCCAACGCTGAGACTTAAAAGAATCTGAAATCAATACTAAAACTTGAAATGCATGAAAGCAGTGAAAGCAGGGCGAACATGATCTCACCGTCTGCCAGTCTCTTAATGGGAAACTAAAACATAAGCAGTAATTATCACCATGGTGCTGTCAAACTATCATTAACAGCAGCTCCTCTGCAGCTCTCAGTGAAAACAGGGTGCGGGCGGGGCGGGGGGGGAAAGTGTGTGTGTGAACACGAGACAGTTTTAATTAATGCTCCAGTGAATGGAGGAGGCTGAGCACAGATTTTGTTGTGCAAAGAGACCTGGCAGAACACCCAAAGGCGTTACCGCGCTCTTTGGGAAGCTTCTCGTTAACAAAGCACAGCTCGGCACATTCGTCACGACTCAGATGTGTTTGGCTCACATCCCATGAGAGAGAGGGAGGAAAGAAAAACAGATCCAATGGAGGAAAACTCTGCAGCCATTGTGTCGAATAAATACTGTTCTTAAGTACACAGTGGAGGGACTTGTACTATGCTAAATGCACTTAAAGTATCCGAAGCAAAACGTTTTTTGAAGTGAGTTTTGGCCAAGTTTACAATGTGGCACCAAGTTTGTCACCTTTACTTGTTTGAATAATCTGAGTACTTTGTCAACCTGATTATGATAGATAGATAGATAGGTAGGTAGGTAGGTAGTTGGTAGGTAGGCAGGCAGGTAGGTAGGTAGGTAGGTAGGTAGGTAGGTAGGTAGGTAGGTAGGTAGGTAGGTAGGTAGGTATAGGTAGGTAGGTAGGTAGGTAGGTAGGTAGGTAGGTAGGTAGGTAGGTAGGTAAGGTAGGTATAGGTAGGTAGGTAGGTAGGTAGTTGGTAGGTAGGTGGGTAGATAGGTAGGTAGGTAGGTGATTGGTAGGTAGGTAGGTGATTGGTACAACTATACATTTGTACTTTAATTAAAATTATCTTTATTGTACTTTATTGAAGAATCTGAATGCAGTACTTTTACTTGTAACCGAGTACTTTTTCCTTAGTTTTTGTCACCTTTACTTGTTTGAATAGTACTTTGTCAACCTGATTATGATAGATGGATAGATTTATAGGTAGGTAGGTAGGTAGGTAGGTAGGTAGGTAGATAGGTAAGTAGGTAGGTAAGTAGGTAGGTAGGTAGGTAGGTAGGTAGGTAGGTAGGTAGGTAGGTAGGTAGGTAGGTAGATTGATAGGTAGGTAGGTAGGTAGGTAGGTAGGTAGGTAGGTAGGTAGGTAGGTAGGTAGGTATGATAGGTAGGTGATAGGTAGGTAGGTAGGTAGATTGATAGGTAGGTAGGTAGATTGATAGGTACTTAATTGATCCCAATTTGGGACATTTTTATAAGCGACAATGCTTCAGTGTCAGAAATACAAATACTAAAGAACTCACATGCAAAGCTTTATCAGTGAAAATCTACTTTCCAGCAACACGTCGCTCATGTTCAGTCATTAAAAATCACTGCAGGCCGTTCTGTGCAAACAAACATGCACTTCAGTAAGAAACCCAGCACATGTTTCATGATGACACAACAACAGTGTCCTTCCTGCTGAATAAGAGTACTCACTGTTTCTGGAGGAGGTTCTGCTGCTGCTGCCGGTACGACTCGATGGTGTGTTGAGGCAGATACTGCATCAGCTCCAGGGACTCCTTGATTTTTACCAAAATCTCATAAATTTCACGGCCTTTGATCTGGAAGAATGAAAATAAAGGGATCACGGTCAGTTTGAAGGAATAGCTGGATGTGTGGTGTGAGTACAGCAACCTTTATTAAATGGTTATGGAAATCTAAAAGGCCTGCACTTCTATTAGCAAATGATAAACCTGTATTTGATTTATTACATTTTCTTTATCACACCTTTTTATAAACAGTTTTACGGAGCTGAGCACTGCTTCCACTTGTATGCTGTGCTCGAGTTCTGCTTGTGTATCAATGAGAGGTGCACAATATTGGGATAAATGGACCTTTGTATGTGCCCTAAATATGTCTTTGAATACAGCACAGCCTGTTTTAAATCAACACTCACAGGCAAACAGAACACCTCCTCGTCTGTGGATCTCCTCTTCTTGATGGTGGACATCTGGATGCCGTGGGAAACTTGGCGGTAAGCTGAGGAGAGGAGAGAAGAGTGTGAGCGCCGCCATCTTTACGCTAACCTTAGTCTGTTGGGGAAACACTGAATGTCCTCTTCCAACATGAGAGCAACATGCTAACAAAGGTATCCCAACTGTAGCTGTGAACATGACAGGATGTGTGATTACCTAGAAGAGCATCAGGACTGTTTGAGGCATATGATAGCTATGTGATTAACATGATGACTCAGCCTCTATGGAGAGAGACATATGACAAGCATGATCATTTCTGACGTGGAGCTAATCTGAAGTAAACATTGAATACTGCTTTCTATTCCTCCATCTTGTGACTGTGTAACTCCCTCTCTTGGATATCAGCATGTGAAGGACACTGTTCAGGAACTAGTTGATGCTCTGTATGTGATGACTACTTTTTAGAAATGTTGAGAAAAATAGTCAGAATTTTTAGATTTTGAGAAAAAATACTGAGAAAAAATACAGAATTTTTTGATTTTGAGTAAAAAGTCAGAATTTAGAGATTTTGAGTAAAAAGTCAGAATTTAGAGATTTTGAGTAAAAAGTCAGAATTTTGAGATTGTTAGTAAAAAGTCAGAATTTTGAGTTTTTGAGAAGAAGTCAGAATTTTGAGAAATAGTCAAAACACCAACATTTTGAGAAAAAAGTCAGTATTTTGTTCATGACAGGATGTGATTACTTAGAAGAACTGGTATTCCTCCATCTTGTGACTGTGTAACTCCCTCTCTTGGATATCAGCATGTGAAGGACACTGTTCAGGAACTAGTTGATGCTCTGTATGTGATGACTACTTCCATTCTGGAGAGGATCACAGATACATGGATCCTGAGGTTGAAGATCAAGCCGGTGCGAGTTTTCTAATATTGTCCTAATGTTCTAATATATCATAAAGCGTCGTACCGTCTCCGCTCTTGGAGCCGTCCGTCACGTGCTGCTTGCGGATGCTGTCCTCGTCCGCCTTCCTGTCTCGACC